GTAACCATGACTGTAAGTATATCTGATTATAGGCTGTCTTAAAGAGTCCAAAAGGTGTTTACCCAGGAGTGGTGCAGCTAGGTTATATGGTAGTTCTCTGCACTGATTTCCATAGTGGCTACATGAGTGTGTATTCCGTTAACAGTAAATAACAGTTCCCTTTACCCTGCACCCTCCTCAGCGTTTATTATTATTATTATTATTATTTTTCCCCGAGATAGGGTTTCTCTGTGTAGCTTTGCACCTTTCCTGGAACTCGCTCTGTAGCCCAGGCTGGCCTCGAACTCACAGAGATCCGCCTGCCTCTGCCTCCTGAGTGCTGGGATTAAGGGCGTGCGCCACCACCGCCGGCTTGTTTATTTTCTTGTTCACAGCCATTCTGATGTTGGGCAAGATGGAATCTCAATTTTAATGTGCATTTCCCTCATTGCTAAGAATGCTGAACACATTTTCAAATACTTACTGGCCATTTGTATTTCTTTTGAGAATCATCTGTTTAGTTCATTAGCCTACTTAGTGAATGCTTCCATTAGTGTTTACTTTTTGGAGTTTTCGCTGTATTTTGGGTATTAAATACACAGTCTGTATAGTTGGTGTTTTTTTTTCTATTGTGCATGCTCTCTGTTGCTCATGCAGAAGCTTTTATATAGAATCCCATTTGTCAGCCAGTTCTTGGGATTATTTTCTGTTTTGTTTGAGTCAAATCATGGGCTGGAAATGAGATGCTCAGTGGTGGAGCACTTGCTAACATGCAAAGCTCTTGTTTAGTACCTGGTACCGGGGAATTTTAAAAAGTCTTGTTTTAATAATTTGTTAACTTTATAGATTCTCCTATAGTTGTATACTTTTTTTCAAATGGGCATGCATGGATTTTTCAAGGAAAACTTGCAAGAGTCTTCTACTTCCACCATATGGGTCCCTTGGGTCATCAGGCTTCACAGCAAGTACCTTTACCCACTGGTACCTATGAGAAGTTCTGAAGATATACAGCAATACATTTAAAACAAGCAGGGCCTGAATAGGGTAAATGGTTCTCCCTTTAAAAGAAAACCCCTCGCAAATGTATGGTTCACCATGTTGGTTTCAAGTTGTTTTTAGTGACCCGCTTACCTTTAGTAGGAAAGGCCATTTCTGAGTAGGGTATTGTAACTGTCTAGCTATATAGGAAGTAAGTTTTGGACAGGGTTGGACTGGTTGGGGCCAGTCCTAGACGGGCCAGTCCTAGACAGGCCAGTCCTAGACAGGAGTACAGTGCTGATAATTCATGGATACAGAAAGCTTATTCCAGACTAGCAGGTCTCAACCTTGCCTGCATAGGAGTATCACTGAGTAACTTGAAAGAGAAACTCTATTAATTGAGCTTTCTTTGGCATATTAGATGGCTCAGCAGGTCAAGGAGCTCACTGCCATGCCTAAGTGAATTCAGTCTTTAGGACCCACATAGTGCAAGGCGAGAACCAGTAGGAAAGTTTGTGTGTGTGTGTGTGTGTGTGTGTGTGTGTGTGTGTGTTTTATGAGCTCCTTCCTTAGTTTTTGTCAAGTCAAGCAAGGGTTGACCAACTTGGCTCTGTATCTAAAATATTCTTTTTGTAACCGTACCTGCTGTTGCCTTCTGTAGTTTTAAACGGTCTTACCTGGGGGGTGGGGTTGGGCAAGATGCCTCAGTGAGTAAAGGTGCCTGCTGCCAAGCCTGCTTGACCCCTGGGACACACAGTAGGAAGAGTCTACTCTAACAGTTGCCTCTGACTTCCACATAGGTGCTGGGCACATGCATATGCACCAACAGTAGCCTTACCTGTAATACATATTGTCGGGCTCTGTCCACATCCCCTGGCACACTGAACCGTCTCATTATCATAGCATTCATTTCTGGGAACTAACCAAAAAGAAGGGAAGCCTGTTTATTGTTCCTGGAGGAATGAAACATTTTAATACCTGTTTGTAACTATATAGAAAATAAACAAAACCAGAAATGGGGCTGGAGACAGCTCAATAGTGAAGAGTACTTGGTGCTCTTGCAGAGAACCTGTATTAGATGTCACTCACATGGCAGCCTACAATCTTCCCATAACTTCACTTCCACAAGATCTGACTCTCTCTTCTGCCTCCAATGGCCCTGCACATAAACTGGTGCACAGACAAGACAAGCAGACACACACACATTAAACAAACCAACCTAATTGTTCTGTCTGTGGTCCAGTTTGAGGGTGTTTAGGACAAAGTACTGCACTTCAAGCTTCCCCGGGTTCTAATTCAGTAGGATGTGGGTTGGGAATGCCTTTTTAATTGAATTTCCAGGTGATGTTGGATACTGCTGGTCTAGGACTACATTTGGAAAACCACTGGTTTAGGATGAGGTTAGGAATTAAGAGATTGTTGACTGCCACTGAAACCATTTGCATGTGTATGGGACATTGGCAGTGGGGGTTGCATTAAGTGCCTAGATGGCATTCCCAACGAATCTGATTATACTGATGTCATGATTACCAGAACTTCCCCGATATTTTAATGCATAGCAAAGCTGAGATTCATTAGATTAGAGGATATAGAGGGATCCATCAACCAGGTCAGTATCCTGAGTTATAAAAAAAGATCGGTACAGGTCAGCCCCAATACTGCAAAAACAAAAACTCATGGACTTGGAGACTTCATAGGGGAAGAAATTCTTTGTTTTTCTAGTTCAGTGGTTGGCCCAAGAACTAATTCATTATAGCACAAACTAATAGGAGAAAAAGAGGAAGAAAGAAAAAAAGTGAAGGTGCCACAGGGTCTGATGGCTGGAGTTTGACCTCAACTCACAACAGGAGAGAACTGACTCCGGCAAAGTCCACTCAGCCACCGGTCTCCCTGCTGTGTGTGGCGCGCGCGCGCGCGCGCGCACACACACACACACACACACACACACACACACACACACACACACACACACACACTAAAGAGCCTCTCCACTATGTCTAAGTTCTTTAGGACAAAGCCAGGACAACAGACACATCACTTCTAGACCCAAGCTCCGTGTTCAGGTTCTGCCAGCAACCACCCCAGCTGATGTCAGCCTTTTCAGTCTGAAATCTCTCATTTCTAGCAGTCTGCAGTTCATGGAAGAAGAGGCAGGGTGTGTTCATTCACATCCATGCCTACAGAAGTTTCCCTGACACTATGCCTGAGGATGAAATAAACTGTCCTGTAATAGTGACCATGGAATCTGCAAAAGGAAAAACAGGGCTCACAAGAGAAGCCCTAACCAAATGATAAGGAGCAGTCTTCTTTTTCTACAAAAGTATGTGTTTGAGAACAAAGTTGTCAACATGTAAAGGCAGCTAATGTGTACGAATTTAAGGAGCCAGCAACTGATTAGTTCTTAGGTACTAATTTGTATTAGTTACTGGTCTTTTAAGAATTAAAATTTTGCTAATAAAATTATATTAATAAATCAAGAAATAAACCATAATTTTGGTGGGTAAAGTCAAATCTTTAGAGATTTCTTTCAGTTTTTAAAGACCCCACTCACCCCACCTGTTATTTCTAGGCTAAATCCTAAAGTAGATGTGACACTGTTTTTGATATATGAGCTTTTCTTTTTTCAGTATGAGTTATGCATGATAAAAAATGCTGATTGTGTAGTTTCTCTAGTGCTTTTACTGTCAAAACACCAAGAAAATAAAAAAGTTGCAATGAGCATGACCATGTTCCTCCTTTGAAATAATAGCATGTAGATTTTAATATGCAAATATCAAACTTCTGGAAGGCTGTCTCTCCCTCCCCTGCCACCATAAATGTGAGGAAGAAGTAAGAAACAGGAAGATGGTTCTTGCCCCAGATTCAGTGAGAAGACAGTTTTTTTATTTTGTCTTTTGCTTGCTCATGCTGTTTTACAAGTAGGAAAACATCGTGTAAGTGAACAGGATGCTAACTGAAATCTGTCCACAAAACTAAGGGTATCAGTGCACTGGGATGAGTTGGCCCCAGAGTCACCATAATAGCAGAAGCCTGGGCATCTGGTGCAGAGGCTGGTGATGGCAGTTGGAAAGATGGCTACAGCCTGACATTTAGGTCTAGTGACTTCTCAAGTAACAAGCAGATGAAAGTTTTTAAAAAGAACTTTTAAACTAATGTAATCTCACCAAAAAAGGAAACTACTTCTATTTTGTTTCTGAGTGTTTCACAAACATTTTTTGTATGTCACAAAAGATTTAATATGAAGATTTAAAACAAATACATAGAAGGGATAAAAAGTGAGACAATTTTCTCACACTGTTTTCCAAACTGAAGGATACCACTGTGTCTTACTTTCCCACATTTCCATGTTTAAACATGATCTTTAGGGAAGGGAACCAGCAAGTCTAAGCAAGGGAAAAAAAGGACAAATATTGCTAATCAATTCTTTACCTTTTGGGGCATCACAAACAGCAGAAATAATTGTCAGACGTTACTATAACCATACTGCAGAAAATGTGTGATCAGACTTTGACAAAAATTCATATTCTGAGAAAATCATGAAGTATGAGATAGCACAGCAAATTCAGGTAGATGTTACTGAGTTAATGTACAAGGCATTCTAAAGAAAAAGGATGGAGACTGGTTTGTTGAGGATAAATGTATTGCTTATTTCCAGTAGATTCTGTGTAGTTCCATTATAGACATCTGCCTCTAGCTCTGGTCTGCACTTGTGAATAAGGTCTTTGACGATGTTTCTGGATTTTTTGTTTGTTTGTTTGACAGAATCTCATGTGGCCCAGGATGGGCTTAAACTTACTATGTGTTGAATTCCTGGTCTTTCTGCCTCTACCTTCCAAGTGCTGGTGATGGAGGCCAGGGATTTGTGCATGTTAGGCAAGTACTCTACCAACAGAGCCCAAGTTTTTGCTCTTGAAGAAAATATAAACACCTATACAAGAATACACTAATATACTA